TTGATTTAATTTTGGTAAGTGATAGTTATCCAGAAACTTGTCCATTTCCTTTGAATTTTCAATTTTTGTGGAATACAGATTTTCGAAGTATGACCTGAAAATTGTCTGGATTTCCTCTGTGTCTGTTGTTATGTTCCCCATTTCGTTTCTGATTTTGTTAATTTGCATGTTCTGTCTCTGCTTTTTCGTTAATTTGGATAAAGGTTTATCAATCTTGTTGATTTTCTCAAAAAACCAACTCTTTGTTGCATTGATTTTTTGTATTGTTTTCCTGGTTTTTATTTTGTTGATTTCAGCCCTCAAGTTGATTATTTCCTGGCGTCTGCTCCTGCGGGGTGAATTCGCTTCTCTCTGTTCTAAGGTTTTCAGTTGCGCTGTTAATTCATTTATGTGACTATCCTCTGTTTTCTTCATATGGGCACTTAGTGCAATGAACTTCCCTCGTAGCACTGCTTTCAAGGTGTCCCATAAGTTCGGGTATGTTGTATCCTCATTCTCGTTGAATATTAGAAAGTCTTTAATTTCTTTCTTTATTTCTTCTTTGACCCAGGAGTGGTGCAATTGCACATTGTTAAGTTTCCATGAGTTTGCAGGTTTTCTGCTATTTGTATTGTTGTTGAATTCCAATTTTAAAGCATGGTGGTCCGATAAGATACAGGGGACTATTTCTATTCTCTTGTATCTGTTGAGGTTTGTTATGTCTCCTAGTATGTTGTCGATTTTAGAGAAGGTTCCATGTGGAGCAGAGAAGAAGGTATATTCTTTTGTCTTTGGATGGAATGTTCTATAGATGTCTGTTAGCCCCAGTTGAGACATAACTTCTGTTAATTCTTTTGTTTCTTTGTTGAGTTTCTGATTTGTGGTCCTGTCTAGTGTTGAGAGTGGTGTATTGAAGTCTCCCACTATAAGTGTGTGAGGTTTTATATGAGCTTTGAGTTTTAGTAGTGTTTCTTTTACGAATGTGGGTGGCTTTGTATTAGGGGCATAGATGTTCAGAATTGAGACTTTGTGTTGATGGATTTCTCCTGAGATGAATATGAAATGACCGTCTTCATCTCTTTTGACTAGTTTTGGTTTGAAGTCTAGCTTGTTAGATATTAGGATAGCTACGCCTGCTTGCTTCTTATTTCCATTTGATTGGAAAATCTTTTCCCAACCCTTTACCCTGAGGTAATGTCTATCTTTGGAGCTAAGATGTGTTTCTTGTATGCAGCAGAAGGATGGATTCTGTCTTTGTATCCATTCTGTTAATCTGTGTCTTTTTATAGGTGAGTTAAGACCATTAATGTTGAGGGTGAGTAAGGACCATTGATTGTTGATGGTTGTTTGATTTAGGTTTGTTGTTGGCAGTGGTACTGTGAATATATTTGTTCTGCTTCACCCTAGGTTTCTGGTGTAGTTGGATTATCTGTTGCCTACATTTTTGTGGGCGTAGTTACCTTCCTTGGGTTGGAATTTTCCTTCCAATACTTTCTGTAGGGCTGGATTTGTAGATACATATTGGGAAAATCTGGTTTTGTCATTGAATATCTTGTTCTCTCCATCTATATTGACTGAGAGTTTTGCTGGATATAGTAGCCTAGGCTGGCATCCGTGTTCTCTTAATACTTTTAGAACATCTATCCAGGACCTTCTGGCCTTGAGGGTTTCCATGGAGAAGTCAGGTGTAATTTTGATAGGTCTGCCTTTATATGTTACCTGTCCTTTTTCCTTCGCTGCTCTTAATATTTTTTCTTTATTCTGTATGCTAGGTGTTTTGATTATTATATGTCGAGGGGTCTTTTTTCTTTGGTCCAGCCTATTTGGGGTTCGGTATGCTTCTTGTACTTTCATGGGCATGTCCTTCTTCAGATTTGGAAAGTTTTCCTCGATGATTTTGTTGAATATGTTTTCAGCACCTTTGAGCTGGGCTTCCTCACCTTCCTCTATGCCTATTATTCTTAGGTTTGGCCTTTTCATGGTGTCCCACATTTCCTGGATATTGTGTGTTAAGGATTTGTTGGATTTATGGTTTTCTTTGGTCGATGAATCTATTTCTTCTAGTTTATCTTCTGCGCCTGAGATTCTCTCTTCCATCTCTTGAATTCTATTGGTTATGCTTGTGTCCGTGGTTTCCGATTTTTTGCCCAGCTTTTCAATTTCCAGCTTTCCTTCCATTTGTGTTGCCTTTATTTTCTCAATTTCGGTTTTCAAATCTTGAACCGTTTCCTTCACCTGGTTAATTGTTTTTTCTTGGCTTTCTGTACTTTCCTTAAGGAATTTGTTCATTTCTTCCACTTTTTTGTTTGTTTTTTCCTCTATTTCTTTAAGGGATTTTCTCATATCTTCTTTGAGGGCCTCTATCATTTTTATGATGGTGATTTTTAAGTCGTACCCTTCTGCTTCCTCTGCTTTGTTGTTGTGTTCCATTCTAGTTGGTGTAGATTCCCTAGATTCTGGTGGTGTCATGTTTGTCTTTCTGTTGTTAGGTGTTCTCTTGTATTGCCTTCTTCCCATAGTTTCTTCCTGTAGGTGTTGGTGGTGTCTCTTCCCTCTCTCTATGGTCCTTCCCAGATGGGCTTATGTGGATCAAAGATTCAATGTCTGTATCTCTGTGTGGTCCAAGCTCTCTAGGAGGCTTCTCTCTGGCCAATAGCCGGCAGAAGAGGACGAGGGCTGGACTGGAACTTGAGAAGGTTTTGCAGGGTAGTGGGATCTCACTGGAAACTGGCGCTCTCCAGCTGAGACCTCGTTCTTTGGCAGGGGCCCGGATTTGGGGGTCAAGGATCTTGCCTGCAGGAACTCCAAGTGGACCCGCAGAGATAGGCGGATCTCTGGGAGGGGCCTGGGACTCCAGCAGAGGACTGGAGGCGGGGTCAGGGACCAAGCCGGTGGAAATTACAGGTGGTCCCACGTGGATAGTCAGGTCTCCTTTGTTCGGAGTTGCTCTGAGAGGTCTCCGAAGTAGGGTGGACTGTTGGCTCCACCCTCTGTCCCAGTGCTCAACCAGAGCGGCAGGACCGTAGGTGGGGTAGGGCACAGGGTAGGGGGGTAGGCTGGAGGTTGGGATGGGTGGGGGTGTATCAGAGCTCCAAGGGTGCTCTCAAAGGGGACCGGAGACAGGAGCAGCAGGATCAGGGGCCAACCCAGCGAGTTCAGGCGGGGGAGGGGGGAAAAGAGGTTGAAGGGGACAGGCAGCCCCGATTGGGCCCAGACTCACCTCTGGCCAATAGCCGGCAGAAGAGGACGAGGGCTGGGCTGGAACTTGAGAAGGTTTTGCAGGGTTGTGGGATCTCACTGGAAACTGGCGCTCTCCAGCTGAGACCTCGTTCTTTGGCAGGGGCCCGGATTTGGGGGTCAAGGATCTTGCCTGCAGGAACTCCAAGTGGACCCGCAGAGATAGGCGGATCTCTCAACTCTGTAGTTCTTTACTTAAGAGAATTCTGATAACCACACATAACTATATTCAGGTATCAAAAGAGTATTGTAGGCCAGCTCTGAGTATCTGCAACTGTGTCTAAAAGAAGAAAGGAAAAAATGAACCTATCTATTCTTCAAACCAATGCCTCCCAATTAAATATCTCTAGTCCTGATTATTAAAATAACTATTCCTCTAAATGTGTGACATTATGAAATGAAACAGCCAAGAAAACTACAACTTACATCCGAGCACTCAGGAGGGTTATCCAGAGATACACAGACCATAGTAATGTCCTGGACAATTTGGTCTACATTTTGGTAAGTCTAGAATGACAATGACTAAGTAAAGAAACCCTGTCTCAAAGAAAGAAAATGAAATTAGCTATTTTAAATTTGGTATTGATCATATTATATTGAGAGTGGTATTACTAGTGGGTCTAGCATAGACTACTAGAAATCTGGGCAAAATTACTGTCTCAGCCTACTGAGATGGCATGCAAAGCTCCTGTTATCCTCTGCTGCCCCACCCTGTGATCCAAAATAGTTGGGCCAGATTCAATCATAACCAAGAATTGTATAAAGGGTCAGATTTGCACAGGCTTCTCACACTTCCAGCAGTCAAGCGAGGATAAAAGAGCTCTCCTTCCACACTTCAGATTTGTTGAGTCCATCAGCACCCGAGAAGTTCCCTGACTCTGGGGTACAACAGATCCCAGGAGAGAAAAGGCAGGTGAATCAGGGTTGGGGTGATGGGGAGGAATTCAGCCTTGTGTTTTCAGGAGGATGGCTGGGAGATATCTGTCTTTCAGTTCATGTCAGAAGCCTTATAGCTTTAAAGCAGGCATCTGGCATGTTTCTGCACACCACATGGATGTAAAATGAACGGGAACAAACAGGGAGCCTCATGAGAGGTGTTTGTATGTGTTGATTGTACAGACAAGGGAAGGAGGTTCACTGCCTTCAATGTGAAGTCATCTCTGCCATCTGCAGAGGCATAAAAGATACCAATCTTCCTGTCCTTGGGTTCACTTGCTTTTAGTTTCTTGAGGCACTTATTTTTATTTCAATACTAGCCTGTCTAGCTGAATCTCACGTACCTCTCATGTAAGAGAGAGCAAGAGCCCATATTAGGTGATAAGAGATTGCAAATTGATGGTTGATATGGTTCTTCTGATCCTTTATATATTGACAGCCCAGGTGGTGTTTATTAGGAGTACTCCAAAACTATATTTTGAGGGTATGCTGATAGAGAGGACATTTGAGTAGAATGTGATCTGGAGAGAATGGGTGAGGTCCTGTCAAAGGACAGGTCCTTCTGTTTCTTAACTGGCCCTTCTACAGGGGGCACTTCAGGCTTCACTGGAGAATATTCCAGCTCCAATTTGATGACCTAGCTTACCATTAGGTGAGATGAAGAAAGACTTGTCCATGGTTTGGCTGATGCTGCAAGTTGTAGTCCTTTAATGCAGACAGAGCTGAGAGACAGAGAAACCTAGAGCACACAAAAAGAAAAAAAAAATTAAATATGTCATTTGTTCACATGTGAAGGGAGAAAAGAACTCCAATTGACAAGTTTGAGAAACAGCAGAGGAGAAGCTAGGATGGAGCAGAGTGTGCAGCAGCAAGGACCAACACTCTCAGGTACTTGTGTGCAAACCTGTGCTAAATCCAAATCCTTCTAGTCGGTGTGTTTTTTCAGTGACTTACGGGTCTATGCATGAGTCAAGATGGGGACAGCTGTGATGGACAGAGAGGGACAGCCAGTGGTGCCAGATAGCTGGCCATCTCCCCAGCTGCCCAGAGTCTCCAAAATGATACGTGGAACGGTGGCAGTCAGTGTATACAGGGACAGCGTCCCCAGTCAGCTAGGCCCGCGACTGCCCCTCCTGTTCTGATGTTTAATCTCCAAAGGCGAGGGTACCTACTCATCCCGAGGGAGGACATTGCTTGGCACTGCGGTCAGGGTGGATGCCAAGTCCTGGAGTGAGTTAGGGGACTCGTGGCTAGTGAGTGAGCAGGAAGATTTCCCAGGAAGAGTTCAGCGGTACACCTGCATGCTGTGTTCACAATAGTGACCCCCTTCCTGTCCTTGCAGGGCCTTCCAGGAGCAGATGGACTGACCCTGACATCAGGATCTTCCTGCAGGAGTGGGAAGTAGTAGAAGCGGAAATAGGCCACCCAGGCAGAAAAATTCACAAGAAGACCAGGGCTCTTTGCCAGGGACTCTTTCACAGGGGCCTGAAGAAGTCATGGCAAAGCTGTTTCGACCTGCTGGTCAGTCTGCAGTATCTGCACAGGAAACTATGTAGCGAGAGACCCAGGACAGAACCCTTGTTTTCTCCGTATGCCGAGGCCCTGTATAGGATCCTGGGCCATAGACCCCAGGGAAGCTATTTCCCAGGTAAGTTTCTTGGGGACGGTCCAGGGAATGCCCTTGAGTGTGGAATCAGCTGGCCTCTCTGTGGTGGGCACCCACTGGGGATAGCACAGGATGCAGGCAAGCCCCATTCCTACAGCTTCCGTGGCCCATGGTGGGAAAGTCTGTGCCCTGTGTGTCTGACCTTGTCTTTCACCCCAGGCAATGGAATTGGGACTTGTTCATAGCAGACCGAGAGACGGGAGCCAGGCAGTTGCTGAGGGTGAATAGGGCCAACTGTGGTGCCATGCTCATGATCTCACTGAGTTTCTTCTCTTGGCAGGGCCTCCCAAATATGGAGCTGGTTACCCCCTGTATCCGATGGACCCTCAACTTCCAATGGTGATACCATCTGCCCCGTACCAGCCTTGCCATTATGGCTTTCCTGCACCTTCTCCAAGGCTTCAAGGCTACCAATGGTCTATGATGTCTTGTGGGCATTCCGGCCATCCAGCCTTCCTTTTCGGCTGCACAACCCCTTCCTGCTCCCGTCCTAGAGACTCCAGTGTCAACCAACAGTGCTTGACTCCTGATGACACCCAAGGCCCTCAGGGAATTCAGTGGAGATTGCTGTGTTTTCTCTAGAAACACGAGGACCCTATGTGTTGTATGTGTACGCATCTTTGTCTGCCTCCTATATGCAGACAAAGGTGGAATCAAATAAAGGTCAATAAAATCACTCCCGCCTCATCCTTGTCATTTCAGTGTGGGCCATGAGGATAGAGCAGCAGGGGATGGGGGCTTGGAGGAGGTTGATTCTAGTACCCTCTTTCTGCATGGGACTCTTGTACTCAGACTCCTGTACCACATCTGCATGTCTCTCTGATGGACAGTACCTCATCAGAGTTTCCATTCTGTAGCCCTTCAGCTGTAGAACTCAAAGTCTTTGTTTCCAAGCCTCCCGTTGCCCAGTGTGCAAGGGAAACCAGACTGAGATGATACGGATATGGGTATAGAAGTGGTTTTACTCAGATGAAGGGGAAGCTATCACAGTTAAGAATCAGATATAAAATAATGTCCACCAGCGACATTGTCATCCAGTGTGAATTGAAAATGCTTTTGCATTTTTTTAGTTCTTTTATATAACCAAGTTGATTTAAATGAAAACAAACATTTATAGACAATATTTGGGAATTTGGGCATCGTTCTTTCCAAACTATTTCTTGCTGGTAAGGGGCGCTGTCAAGGGGATTTGAAGAAGACCCAGAAATCCTGGCTGTAGTCTGTAAGGCTGCGTTGTCCAGCTGTTTTGAATGTAGGATCACCTGGTAGGTACTCTGTTTCAGGTGGTGTGGCTTGATCAAACCACATTAGTCTGGAAGGAATCCACATCTTTTCATTTTCTGTGGAAACAAAAATAGAAGTCCTTATCCCCAGTAACTTGTCCTTGAACTTAAATTTTGGAGTCAAAGCATTTTTTTTAATTTAATTTATTATTTTACATGTCGATCCCAGTTCCCTCTCCCTCTCTCCCTCTCTCCCTCCGGCCCTCCCTCCCTTCCTCCCTCCCTACTACCCTCTCTGCCCTCTCACATGCACTCTAACCACCCTCCCCTCCCATCCCCTCACCCCAATTCCATATGTAGGGGAATGCCATCCAGTTGGGGTCATGTAGATCTGACAGGTCATGTGAAGTAGGGACTAGGGCTTCTGTCCTGACTCTAGATTAAGGCAGTTATCCCTCCTTGGGGGGATGTGTTCTCAAGGTCCTTTTGTGCACCAGGGATACTTCCTGGCTCCACTGTCTGAGGTCCCTTAGACTGTTCAGTCCTTCTGGCTGAGACCCATATTCAGGGGGGCCTGAGTCAGTCCCCTGCTGGCTTCCCAGCTATCAGTCTGGTGGCCCGTTAGCTCCTCCTTGTTCAGGTAATCTGTCTCTTTGTGTTTCTGCCAGTTGGTCTTGTCCTCTCCATCTGCATCTGGGTTCTACTTCCACTCAGGGTTTATGTATGGGTGTTTGCTCCTGTTTCCATCAGGCATTAGTTGAGGGCTCCATGGAGAAGTTAGTTGTTGATCTCACTCTCTAGGAAGGGCATTTATGGTAGCTCAGATTGTTAGTTGGCAGCAGTCTTGTATTTCTCTAGACCTTTCTTTGGGTTCAATTTTATCTTCAACCATTATTGGCTCCCTCTTTTATGTTCTCTCTCTCTCTCTCTCTCTCTCTCTCTCTCTCTCTCTCTCTCTGTCTCTCTCTCTCTCCTGTCTTCTATTCCTAACCGGGTTCAATCTTCCTGGACGCACATGTTTTCCTTTCCTACCCCTTGTTTTCTCCTAATTCTTTCTCCATTTGCTGCCCCCCCACTTCCCCTGTGCTCTGGGGGACTTTATGTGAATCTCCTCTGGTGGTGTGAATTATAGGCTGCTGATCCTTTGATCTAGGTCTCAAATAATGCTTTTGCATCTTAGGGGGCACATTTGTAATACGTCAGGGCCAACTATGATCTCCTTAAGTATATAATGTTGTTGTCATTCTTGGCCGTATAGTTCTATGGCCATTATACATAAACACATTAGAGTTATTTCATACAATGACTCTTTTCATGTAGGTATGAGCTGGTTAATGTTTTGGACTTCAGCATGTCATAAGGTGACCTAATTGTGTATCAAATTGAAAAGGAGTGGAATTATGGTGGCGATTGTTGCCTGTGTACTTGACTACATCTACCAGTAGTTAAAATCCCCAAATGGCTGGGCATCTCCTTGATGGGGGTCTGTCCTCTGGATGGGGGAAGTTTCACTTCTTATGAGGATGATTGAGGTTTGTGGTAGGTTGAATGTAATTTTCCCCATAATCTCTTAGCCTCTGCCTCCATTGAGAGGTGTGGTCTTGTTGAAGGAAGTGTGTCACTGTGGGGGCAGGCTTTGGAGTCTGTTGTGCTTATGCTTAGGTGAACGTCACAGTTCGTTCTCTGTTGTCTTTGACCATGTTGTAGCCAGCAACATGCAGGTTTGTATGTCACCATGGTGACAATGGACTAAACCCATTGACCACTAAGTGAGACACCCCACTAAGGGATTTCCTTGCTCATAAGGGTTGCCTTGCTCATGGTGTGTCTTCCCTGCTACAGAAGCCATTTCTACAACAAGGTATGAGACACTCATTTAGTCCAGGTGTATTGAGGGGAAATGTCACACCTCTAACATGGGCCAGATTTCATAATGGAAATGTATGAATGGACCTGAAGGACAAAGTCTCTCTCTCTCTCTCTCTCTCTCTCTCTCTCTCTCTCTCTCTCTCTCTCTCACTCTTTTCTCTGTTTTTTTTTTTTTGACAAAAATTGTTTAATGGTAAAAGTTAGCACACTCCAGCACCAGGCCTGGCCTGGAGTCCAAGCAGCATGGATGGCTGGCTGACCCCATGGAGCCTCAACTCACATGGCGAAGAGGATGAGGAAGGCTACCATCAAACAGAAGAGCCCCATGGCCTCACAGGGCTAAGCTCAGAACGGCATAGGAGAAGAGCTGTTGCCTGAGAGATGGCTTCCTGGCATAGCCAGTAATCAAGCTAGCAAACACTGTTCAAATGCCCGTCCCTGAGCCAGCCATACCAACTGTGGCAGCCCCAGCACCAATAGCCTTGGCAGCTGTGTCAATGTCCAGGGACACAACACTGGTCTGCAATTCCCGTCTGGCCCCCTGGAGTAGGGGAGCTGCTACTGGAAGGCTGTTTAGACAGGGCCTCTGTCCTACTCAGGAGGGAGACAGACACAGGTCTGATTAGACCCCTGGTACAGGAGTGGATCCGACCTGGAGTAAAGAGCAGTCCCTTGGTGGTCTGCATTTTCCAATCTGCACCCCCACTCCCCTGCAGCCCCTGCTCGGCTCAGGCACTCCAGCTGCTCTAGGTGACTGACACAAAGTTTCTCTCTTTTGCCTACGAGGTATGGCCCGGGATGGCAAATCCATCCCTTGGGTGGCATTAGAGAGATGTTTGACACCCAGTGTTTGGGAACCCCTCATGAGGTGAAAAGACAATTATGGCAAAATACACTTATATACTTTATATTTCACAATGGTAGCAAATACACAGTTATGAAGCAGCAATGAAAAGGTGTAGGATTAAGAATCAACATAACATGAGGAGCCGCATGAAAGATTTTCACATTTGAAAGGTGAGAAACACTGTCTTAGAGTCTACTTCTTTCAGATGTGACAAATACTAAAGAGCAGTTGAGACATTCCTCCTCGGGGAACAACGACTACTGGATTCTCAGACCTTCTGTCCATAGGCAGCCATTGTTGGATTAGCTGCCTTTATGTGGTTCTTGTCAAACAGGATATATACACATACACACACTTACACATATCTACATCCATAAACATACACATTATACCAAGAGACAGGCACATAGACAAACACACATAAACACAGGAATACGAACCCTCCCCCCACCCCCGCACACACACACACACCTGTTGACTCCTCGTAGTTGTAAATTTGACTTTATTCCAAATGAATTACAAATTCAGAATTGAAGGACTTCCCTTTGATCCCTATACTGAGCTGGGAAGACACAGGCTTTAGATCAAGGCCTGTAAGTGGGACAAGACACGCCTTTAATCCAAATCCTGAAAAGGAAAGGCACACCTTTAATCAGGCTCTCAGCTTCAGCTGGAAACCAATATAAACTCAATCAAATGAGGATCGATTCCTATTTTCATGTCTGTTTGGCCTGAACCTGGCAGTACATCTATTCCTTCAGTGATATTGGACCTACTTATCCAGTTTCAGCATATACAGATGAATAGCTGATACAACCAGGCCCAAATGGCCAAGTAAACTCTACATTCTCCTACTTTCCATTCACATCTAGGGATCACATAATTTTGACAGCAGCCTGTCAAAAAAATGACACGCACAAAGACACACACACTCACTCATTCACATATGTGTATATGTCCCCTAAAATTTGTGAATGTAGAGAACCCTGACTAAAAGACATACACACACACGTACAGGGAAAGAATAATGCTAAATTTCAGTTATTGTAGGGAACTCTAGCACACCACACATAACCATTGTCAGTGATGATAAGTGTATTAAGTCATGCTAGAAACCTCCGGAAGTCAACATCTGAAAACAAAACAAAGCAAAAACCAATAGAGAGATTTCTTGGGATATTGGCTACCTATCAAGGATCTTCTTATAGGGGGCTCACATCATAACTGTTTTTCATGGTACTTTGCACCGATGCTGTGTCTGTGGATGGGCAGAGATCAGATCACCAGGGAAAGGGATAAGAGGGGTACAAGGTCATCGGGTACTACTGTAGGAATTGTAGGCTCAGGGATCCAGGGAATCGCAATTCCATAGGTAGGACCTCTTCATTCTAGGCCTGGCCTGATGAATTTCTCTTGTCCTGGTGATTAAAATCCACCTTAAAGTCTCTTGCCAACTTTGTTCTTTCCATGAGCCCTGTACTATGATATGACAGGAGTGAGTAGATTATCCTAGCAACAGGCAAACCAAGGGAAATTGAGCAGGGATTCATGCTCATTCTTGTCTACAAAGAGGGTTTCACTGTATCTTGGGATATGAGAGTTACTGTCTCAAGATCCTCACTCACAACAAGAAAACCCACCAAGTAAAATAATGACTCTTTTCCCTAGACTTGAGAATGATGCTTCCTTTCACTGGTTATGGCATTGTCCACGTGGTCCTGTGAGATCCCTTGCATTAAAGTGAACACAGCGTGGAAAGAGCACATCACAAGGGGTAGACCAGTTGTCCTCACCCTCGCCGATGACTCTACCCATAAATACAGTTCTTCAGGGTGTGGTGACCTCCCCAGCCCAAACCTAAATTCACATAAGTTGCTCCTTTCTAGGTGTATTTTGCCACTGTGTTAAATCATCTTATAATCCATAAAGTAAATAACAGGCCATGCCTGTGTCAGGGCCATTCTTTCTGGAGAGGGCTCTTGTCCGACTAGGTGACAAACACTGAGCTAGCTGAGGCAACTCTCATGCTTCTGTAGGCGAGAGAAGCATCCTTGACACACGTGTTGAGTTGTGACAGTTTTGCACAAACTGGGCCCATCCAGTGTCGCCTCCATATAGAAGGCCCCAGTGTTCACCATTCCTGTCTCTTCCTCGGGCCATGCTTCCTGATGATCTCTTAGCCTCCTTCACTATTTCTCTTTTTGGCCCTTTGATAGAGAAGTTCCAAACTTTCTGTACATCTCAGGTTTCAATCACAGTTTACATGAAGTGAAGATATTTAATAAATGTGCTATGAAAAACCAAAAAGCTGCTTCAAAGAAGACATTGAAACTATTTGCCTATGTTTTCTGCGCTTGTTTGATAGCTTTTAATGGAGACTGTGTGGTTCTCAAGGAGGTCTAACCTAAGAATGCTAGAAACTTGGGCATCCCTCCTGTCTCAGCCTCCTGAGATGGGATGCAAAGCTGCTGTTATACTCTGTTGACACACCCTGGAATCTAGTCAGGCGTGGCCAGATTCGAGCCTACCAAGAGCTTTATAAAGGGTCAGATCTCCATCGGGTTCCCAGACCTCTTGGAGCTCGGGCAGTGAACAGAACCCTCCCTCCACACTGCACACTCCAGACTCTGTGGCACCCAGCAGCACCTACAGAACACTGGTTTCCTGATTCTGTGGACCACAAGAGAGCTCAGAAGGGAACATGTACGTCCAGTCTGGTGTTTTCTGGAGGATGGCTGGAATGTTTGGTTTTCAATCCATCCCAGGAGGTTTATAGCCTTAAACTGAGTCTCTGGCATGCTTCTCCACTCCACATGGAGTGAGGTGAAATGAACCAGGAGTAGTAGTATGCCCCATTGGAGGTGTTGGTTCTCTGTTCATTGTACAGGCAAGGAAACGTGGGTAACTGCCTTAAACGGGGACACATTTCTGCAATTAGAAAAGCTAGTGATCCTTGTTTTCTTGGGATTATTTGTTTTTTTATGTTTGTCTTGGCAGATTGTTTTTGTTTTTTTTTTTGTTTGTTTGTTTGTTTTGTTCCGTTTTTAAAAGACAGGGTTTCTCTGTAGCTTTGGAGGCTGTCTTGGAACTAGTCCTGTAGACAATGCTGTCCTCATACTCACAGAGATCTGCCAGTCTCTGCCTCCTGAGTGCTGGGATTAAAGGCATGTGACACCAACGACAGGCCTTTTTGTGTTGTTGTTGTCTTTTGTTTTTCTTTTTTGTTTTGTTTTGTTTTTTAGACTTTTTGCTTCCCAGAAGAGGGCATCAGATCCCATTATAAATGGCTGCAAGCCTCCATGTGGTTACTGAGAAGTGAAATCAGGCCCTGTGAAATAACTGCCAATGCACTTAACTGCTAAACTATCTCCAATCCCACTTATTGTGTATGTGTGTGTGTGTGTGTGTGTGTTTGCTTGTTAGGGGGTTTGAGGGATGTTTTCTCTGTGGCGCAGCCTTGGCTGTCCTGGAACTTGCTCTGTGGACATGGATGTTCTTGAGTTCACAGAGGTCAGCCAGGGTCTGACTCCCGAGTGCTGGGATTAAAGGCGGGCAGCACCTCTGCCTCAAGGCAGATTCTTTTTTGTCCGAGGCTTGCCCACAACCTACTGTGTAGTCAAGGATGACCCTGAAGTGTAGAATCTCCCTGTCCTCTTGTGAAAGAGCCAGGATTATAGCTGCCGGCCAAACACCCATGCCATGCGATAGCAGATGAAAAATTGTGGGTTGACATCTTTCCTCTGATAACCTGTATATGTCCGGACAACCAGCTGGGGTTCATCAGGAGACTCTAGAGGTATTTTAGCAGTAGGATAATGCAGAAGATTTGGGGGTAGAATGTGAGCAGGAGAGAATGGGTGAGGTCCTGTCAAAGGACAGGCCCTTCTGTTTCTTATCTGTCCCTTCCACAGGGGGCACCTCAGGCTTCACTGGAGGCATTGCTTGGTCCAATTTGATGACCAAGCTTCCCATTAGGTGAGAATGTATGTACCAGCACCTGTAGGTGAGGAATGTGGAGTCTTTTGATTGGATGCTGTTGCGAGGGGTTGGTTCCTTGATGCAGGGACAGCTTAGAAAGTTACATGAAAATGATTAATAATTTATTTATTCATTTGTGAACAGAGAAAAGAACCCCAATTGACAAGTTTGAGAAACAGCAGAGGAGAAGCTAGGATGGAGCAGAGTGTGCAGCAGCAAGGGCCAACACTCTCAGGTACTTGTATGCAAACCTGTGCTAAATCCAAATCCTTCTAGACGGTGTGTTTTTTCAGTGACTTACTGGTCTATGCATGAGTCAAGATGGGGACAGCTGTGATGGACAGAGAGGGACAGCCAGTGGTGCCAGGTAGCTGGCCATCTCCCCCAGCTGCACAGAGTCTCCAAAATGATAGGTGGAACGGTGGCTGTCAGTGTATACAGGGACAGTGTCCCCAGTCAGCTAGGCCCGCGACTGCCCCTCCTGTTCTGATGTTTAATCTCCAAAGGCGAGGGTACCTACTCATCCCGAGGGAGGACATTGCTTGGCACTGCGGTCAGGGTGGATGCCAAGTCCTGGAGTGAGTTAGGGGACTCGTGGCTAGTGTGTGAGCAGGAAGATTTCCCAGGAAGAGTTCAGCGGTACACCTGCATGCTGTGTTCACAATAGTGACCCCCTTCCTGTCCTTGCAGGGCCTTCCCGGAGCAGATGGACTGACCCTGACATCAGGATCTTCCTGCAGGAGTGGGAAGTGGTAGAAGCGGAAATAGGCCACCCAGGCAGAAAAATTCACAAGAAGACCAGGGCTCTTTGCCAGCGACTCTTTCACAGGGGCCTGAAGAAGTCATGGCAAAGCTGTTTCGACCTGCTGGTCAGTCTGCAGTATCTGCACAGGAAACTATGTAGCGAGAGACCCAGGACAGAACCCTTGTTTTCTCCGTATGCCGAGGCCCTGTATAGGATCCTGGGCCATAGACCCCAGGGAAGCTATTTCCCAGGTAAGTTTCTTGGGGACGGTCCAGGGAATGCCCTTGAGTGTGGAATCAGCTGGCCTCTCTGTGGTGGGCACCCACTGGGGATAGCACAGGATGCAGGCAAGCCCCATTCCTACAGCTTCCGTGGCCCATGGTGGGAAAGTCTGTGCCCTGTGTGTCTGACCTTGTCTTTCACCCCAGGCAATGGAATTGGGACTTGTTCATAGCAGACCGAGAGACGGGAGCCAGGCAGTTGCTGAGGGTGAATAGGGCCAACTGTGGTGCCATGCTCATGATCTCACTGAGTTTCTTCTCTTGGCAGGGCCTCCCAAATATGGAGCTGGTTATCCCCTGTATCCGATGGACCCTCAACTTCCAATGGTGATACCATCTGCCCCGTACCAGCCTTGCCATTATGGCTTTCCTGCACCTTCTCCAAGGCTTCAAGGCTACCAATGGTCTATGATGTCTTGTGGGCATTCCGGCCATCCAGCCTTCCTTTTCGGCTGCACAACCCCTTCCTGCTCACGTCCTAGAGACTCCAGTGTCAACCAACAGTGCTTGACTCCTGATGACACCCAAGGCCCTCAGGGAATTCAGTGGAGATTGCTGTGTTTTCTCTAGAAACACGAGGACCCTATGTGTTGTATGTGTACGCATCTTTGTCTGCCTCCTATATGCAGACAAAGGTGGAATCAAATAAAGGTCAATAAAATCACTCCCGCCTCATCCTTGTCATTTCAGTGTGGGCCATGAGGATAGAGCAGCAGGGGATGGGGGCTTGGAGGAGGTTGATTCTAGTACTCTCTTTCTGCATGGGACTCTTGTACTCAGACTCCTGTACCACATCTGCATGTCTCTCTGATGGACAGTACCTCATCAGAGTTTCCATTCTGTAGCCCTTCAGCTGTAGAACTCAAAGTCTTTGTTTCCAAGCCTCCCGTTGCCCAGTGTGCAAGGGAAACCAGACTGAGATGATACGGATATGGGTATAGAAGTGGTTTTACTCAGATGAAGGGGAAGCTATCACAGTTAAGAATCAGATATAAAATAATGTCCACCAGCGACATTGTCATCCAGTGTGAATTGAAAATGCTTTTGCATTTTTTTTTATTTCTTTTATATAACCAAGTTGATTTAAATGAAAGCAAACATTTATAGACAATATTTGGGAATTTGGGCGTCGTTCTTTCCAAACTACTTCTTGCTGGCAAGGGGCGCTGTCAAGGGGATTTGAAGAAGACCCAGAAATCCTGGCTGTAGTCTGTAAGGCTGCGTTGTCCAGCTGTTTTGAATGTAGGATCACCTGGTAGGTACTCTGTTTCAGGTGGTGTGGCTTGATCAAACCACATTAGTCTGGAAGGAATCCACATCTTTTCATTTTCTGTGGAAACAAAAATAGAAGTCCTTATCCCCAGTAACTTGTCCTTGAACTTAAATTTTGGAGTCAAAGCATTTTTTTTTAATTTAATTTATTATTTTACATGTCGATCCCAGTTCCCTCTCCCTCTCTCCCACCCCCCCGGCCCTCCCTCCCTTCCTCCCTCCCCATTACCCTCTCTGCCCTCTCACATGCACTCTAACCACCCTCCCCCTCCCATCCCCTCACCCCAATTCCATATGTAGGGGAATGCCATCCAGTTGGGGTCATGTAGATCTGACAGGTCATGTGAAGTAGGGACTAGGGCTTCTGTCCTGACTCTAGATTAAGGCAGTTATCCCTCCTTGGGGGATGTGTTCTCAAGGTCCTTTTGTGCACCAGGGATACTTCCTGGCTCCACTGTCTGAGGTCCCTTAGACTGTTCAGTCCTTCTGGCTGAGACCCATATTCAGGGGGGGCCTGAGTCAGTCCCCTGCTGGCTTCCCAGCTATCAGTCTGGTGGCCCGTTAGCTCCTCCTTGTTCAGGTAAGCTGTCTCTTTGTGTTTCTGCCAGCTGGTCTTGTCCTCTCCATCTGCATCTGGGTTCTACTTCCACTCAGGGTTTATGTATGGGTGTTTGCTCCTGTTTCCATCAGGCAATAGTTGAGGGCTCCATGGAGAAGTTAGTTGTTGATCTCACTCTCCGGGAAGGGCATTTATGGTAGCCTATCCACGGAAACTCAGATTGTTAGTTGGCAGCAGTCTTGTATTTCTCTAGACTTTTCTTTGGGTTCAATTTTATCTTCAACCATTATTGGCTCCCTCTTTTATGATCTCTCTCTCTCTCTCTCTCTCTCTCTCTCTCTCTCTCTCTCTCTCTCTCTCTCCTCTCTGTCTCCTGTCTTCTATTCCTAACCGGGTTCAATCTTCCTGGACACACATGTTTTCCCTTTCCTACCCCTTGTTTTCTCCTAATTCTTTCTCCATTTGCTGCCCCCCCCACTTCCCCCTGTGCTCTGGGGGACTTGTCCCTTCCCCGTTCTGTGAGGGACTTTATGTGAATCTCCTCTGGTGGTGTGAATTATGGGCTGCTGATCCTTTGATCTAGGTCTCAAATAATGCTTTTGCATCTTAGGGGTCACATTTGTAATACGTCAGGGCCAACTATGATCTCCTTAAGTATATAATGTTGTTGTCATTCTTGGCCGTATAGTTCTATGGCCATTATACATAAACACATTAGAGTTATTTCATACAATGACTCTTTTCATGTAGGTATGAGCTGGTTAATGTTTTGGACTTCAGCATGTCATAAGGTGACCTAATTGTGTATCAAATTGAAAAGGGGTGGAATTATGGTGTACTTGACTACATCTACCAGTAGTTAAAATCCCCAAATGGCTGGGCATCTCCTCGATGGGGGTCTGTCCTCTGGATGGGGGAAGTTTCACTTCTTATGAGGATGATTGAGGTTTGTGGTAGGTTGAATGTAATTTTCCCCATAATCTCTTAGCCTCTGCCTCCATTGAGAGGTGTGGTCTTGTTGAAGGAAGTGTGTCACTGTGGGGGCAGGCTTTGGAGTCTGTTGTGCTTATGCTTAGCTGAACGTCACAGTTCGTTCTCTGTTGTCTTTGACCAAGTTGTAGCCAGCAACATGCAGGTTTGTATGTCACCATGGTGACAATGGACTAAACCCATTGACCACTAAGTGAGACACCCCACTAAGGGATTTCCTTGCTCATAAGGGTTGCCTTGCTCATGGTGTGTCTTCCCTGCTACAGAAGCCATTTCTACAACAAGGTATGAGACACTCATTTAGTCCAGGTGTATTGAGGGGAAATGTCACACCTCTAACATGGGCCAGATTTCATAATGGAAATGTGTGAATGGACCTGAAGGACAAAGTCTCTCTCTCTCTCTCTCTCTCTCTCTCTCTCTCTCTCTCTCTCTCTCTCTCTCCCCTTCACTCTTACCTCTGTTTTGTTTTTTTGACAAAAAATGTTTAATGGTAAAAGTTAGCACACTCCAGCACCAGGCCTGGCCTGGAGTCCAAGCAGCATGGATGGCTGGCTGACCCCATGGAGCCTCAACTCACATGGCGAAGAGGATGAGGAAGGCTACCATCAAACAGAAGAGCCCCATGGCCTCACAGGGCTAAGCTCAGAACGGCATAGGAGAAGAGCTGTTGCCTGAGAGATGGCTTCCTGGCATAGCCAGTAATCAAGCTAGCAAACACTGTTCAAATGCCCGTCCCTGAGCCAGCCATACCAACTGTGGCAGCCCCAGCACCAATAGCCTTGGCAGCTGTGTCAATGTCCAGGGACACAACACTGGTCTGCAATTCCCGTCTGGCCCCCTGGAGTAGGGGAGCTGCTACTGGAAGGCTGTTTAGACAGGGCCTCTGTCCTACTCAGGAGGGGAGACAGACACAGGTCTGATTAGACCCCTGGTACAGGAGTGGATCCGACCTGGAGTAAAGAGCAGTGCCTTGGTGGTCTGCATTTTCCAATCTGCACCCCCACTCCCCTGCAGCCCCTGCTCGGCTCAGGCACTCCAGCTGCTCAAGGTGACTGACCCAAAGTTTCTCTCTTTTGCCTACGAGGTATGGCCCGGGATGGCAAATCCATCCCTTGGGTGGCATTAGAGAGATGTTTGACACCCAGTGTTTGCGAACCCCTCATGAGGTGAAAAGACAATTATGTTCTAAAATATGGCAAAATACACTTATATACTTTATATTTCACAATGGTAGCAAATACACAGTTATGAAGCAGCAATGAAAAGGTGTAGGATTAAGAATCAACATAACATGAGGAGCCGCATGAAAGATTTTCACATTTGAAAGGTGAGAAACACTGTCTTAGAGTCTACTTCTTTGAGATGTGACAAATACTAAAGAGCAGTTGAGACATTCCTCCTCGGGGAACAACGACTACTGGATCCTCGGACCTTCTGTCCATAGGCAGCCATTGTTGGATTAGCTGCCTTTATGTGGTTCTTGTCAAACCGGATATATACACATACACATACACACACTTACACATATCTACATCCATAAACATACACATTATACCAAGAGACAGGCACATAGACAAACACACATAAACACAGGAATACGAACCCTCCCCCACCCCCGCACACACACACACACCTGTTGACTCCTCGTAGTTGTAAATTTGACTTTATTCCAAATGAATTACAAATTCAGAATTGAAGGACTCCCCTTTGATCCCTATACTGAGCTGGGAAGACACAGGCTTTAGATCAAGGCCTGTAAGTGGGACAAGACACGCCTTTAATCCAAATCCTGAAAAGGAAAGGCACACCTTTAATCAGGCTCTCAGCTTCAGCTGGAAACCAATATAAACTCAATCAAATGAGGATCGATTCCTATTTTCATGTCTGTTTGGCCTGAACCTGGCAGTACATCTATTCCTTCAGTGATATTGGACCTACTTATCCAGTTTCAGCATATACAGATGAATAGCTGAGACAACCCGGCCCAAATGGCCAAGTAAACTCTACATTCTCCTACTTTCCATTCACATCTAGGGATCACATGATTTTGACAGCAGCCTGTCTAAAAAATGACACGCAGAAAGACACACACTCACTCACTCACTCACTCACATATGTGTATATGTCCCCTAATGTTGGTGAATGTAGAAAACCCTGACTAAAAGACATACACACACACGTATAGGGAAAGAATAATGCTAAATTTCAGTTATTGTAGGGAACTCTAGCACACCACACATAGCCATTGTCAGTGATGATAAGTGTATTAAGTCATGCTAGAAACCTCCGGAAATCAACATCTGAAAACAAAACAAAACAAAAACCAAAAGAGAGATTTCTTGGGATATTGGCTACCTATCAAGGATCTTCTTATAGGGGGCTCACATCATAACTGTTTTTCATGGTACTTTGCACAGATGCTGTGTCTGTGGGTGGGCAGAGATCAGATCACCGGGGAAAGGGATAAGAGGGGTACAAGGTCATCGGGTACTACTGGAGGAATTGTAGGCTCAGGGATCCAGGGAATCGCAATTCCATAGGTAGGAGCTCTTCATTCTAGGCCTGGCCTGGTGAATTACTCTTGTCCTGGTGATTAAAATCCACCTTAAAGTCTCTTGCCAACTTTGTTCTTTCCATGAGCCCTGTACTATGATATGACAGGAGTGAGTAGATCATCCTAGCAACAGGCAAACCAAGGGAAATTGAGCAGGGATTCATGCTCATTCTTGTCTACAAAGAGGGTTTCACTGTATCTTGGGATATGAGAGTTACTGTCTCAAGATCCTCACTCACAACAAGAAAACCCACCAAGTAAAATAATGACTCTTTTCCCTAGACTTGAGAATGATGCTTCCTTTCACTGGTTATGGCATTGTCCACGTGGTCCTGTGAGATCCCTTGCATTAAAGTGAACACAGCGTGGAAAGAGCACATCTCAAGGGGTAGACCAGTTGTCCTCACCCTCGCCGATGACTCTACCCATAAATACAGTTCTTCAGGGTGTGGTGACCTCCCAGCCCAAACCTAAATTCACATAAGTTGCTCCTTTCTAGGTGTATTTTGCCACTGTGTTAAATCATCTTATAATCCATAAAGTAAATAACAGGCCATGCCTGTGTCAGGGCCATTCTTTCTGGAGAGGGCTCTTGTCCGACTAGGTGACAAACACTGAGCTAGCTGAGGCAACTCTCATGCTTCTGTAGGCGAGAGAAGCGTCCTTGACACACGTGTTGAGTTGTGACAGTTTTGCACAAACTGGGCCCATCCAGTGTCGCCTCCATATAGAAGGCCCCAGTGTTCACCATTCCTGTCTCTTCCTCGGGCCATGCTTCCTGATGATCTCTTAGCCTCCTTCACTATTTCTCTTTTTGGCCCTTTGATAGAGAAGTTCCAAACTTTCTGTACATCTCAGGTTTCAATCACAGTTTACATGAAGTGAAGATATTTAATAAATGTGCTATGAAAAACCAAAAAGCTGCTTCAAAGAAGACATTGAAACTATTTGCCTATGTTTCCTGCGCTTGTTTGATAGCTTTTAATGGAGACTGTGTGGTTCTCAAGGAGGTCTAACCTAAGAATGCTAGAAACTTGGGCATCCCTCCTGTCTCAGCCTCCTGAGATGGGATGCAAAGCTGCTGTTATACTCTGTTGACACACCCTGGAATCTAGTCAGGCGTGGCCAGATTCGAGCCTACCAAGAGCTTTATAAAGGGTCAGATCTCCATCGGGTTCCCAGACCTCTTGGAGCTCGGGCAGTGAACAGAACCCTCCCTCCACACTGCACACTCCAGACTCTGTGGCACCCAGCAGCACCTACAGAACACTGGTTTCCTGATTCTGTGGACCACAAGAGAGCTCAGAAGGGAAAATGTACGTAAGGTCCAGGTCATCCAGTCTGGTGTTTTCTGGAGGATGGCTGGAATGTTTGTTTTTCAATCCATCCCAGGAGGTTTATAGCCTTAAACTGTGTCTCTGGCATGCTTCTCCACTCCACATGGAGTGAGGTGAAATGAACCAGGAGTAGTAGTATGCCCCATTGGAGGTGTTGGTTCTCTGTTCATTGTACAGGCAAGGAAACGTGGGTAACTGCCTTAAACGGGAACACATTTCTGCAATTACAAAAGCCAGTGATCCTTGTTTTCTTGGGATTATTTGTTTTTTTATGTTTGTCTTGGCAGATTGTTTTTTTGTTTGTTTGTTTGTTTTGTTCCGTTTTTAAAAGACAGGGATTCTCTGTAGCTTTGGAGGCTGTCTTGGAACTAGTCCTGTAGACAATGCTGTCCTCATACTCACAGAGATCTGCCAGTCTCTGCCTCCTGAGTGCTGGGATTAAAGGCATGTGACACCGACAGGCCTTTTTGTGTTGTTGTTGTTTTTTGTTTTTCTTTTTTGTTTTGTTTTGTTTTTTAGACTTTTTGCTTCCCAGAAGAGGGCATCAGATCCCATTATAAATGGCTGCAAGCCTCCATGTGGTTACTGAGAAGTGAAATCAGGCCCTGTGAAATAACTGCCAATGCACTTAACTGCTAAACTATCTCCAATCCCACTTATTGTGTATGTGTGTGTGTGTGTGTGTGTTTCTTGTTAGGGGGTTTGTGGGATGTTTTCTCTGTGGCGCAGCCTTGGCTGTCCTGGAACTTGCTCTGTGGACATGGATGTGCTTGAGTTCACAGAGGTCAACCAGGGTCTGACTCCCGAGTGCTGGGATTAAAGGCGGGCAGCACCTCTGCCTCAAGGCAGATTCTTCTTTGTCCGAGGCTTGCCCACAACCTACTGTGTAGTCAAGGATTACCCTGAAGTGTAGAATCTCCCTGTCCTCTTGTGAAAGAGCCAGGATTATAGCTACCGGCCAAACACCCATGCCATGCGATAGCAGATGAAAAATTGTGGGTTGACATCTTTCCTCTGATAACCTGTATATGTCCGGACAACCAGCTGGGGTTCATCAGGAGACTCTAGAGGTATTTTAGCAGCAGGATAATGCAGAAGATTTGGGGGTAGAATGTGAGCAGGAGAGAATGGGTGAGGTCCTGTCAAAGGACAGGCCCTTCTGTTTCTTATCTGTCCCTTCCACAGGGGGCACCTCAGGCTTCACTGGAGGCATTGCTTGGTCCAATTTGATGACCAAGCTTCCCATTAGGTGAGAATGTATGTACCAGCACCTGTAGGTGAGGAATGTGGAGTCTTTTGATTGGATGCTGTTGCGAGGGGTTGGTTCCTTGATGCAGGGACAGCTTAGAAAGTTGCATGAAAATGATTAATAATTTATTTATTCATTTGTGAACAGAGAAAAGAACCCCAATTGACAAGTTTGAGAAACAGCAGAGGAGAAGCTAGGATGGAGCAGAGTGTGCAGCAGCAAGGGCCAACACTCTCAGGTACTTGTATGCAAACCTGTGCTAAATCCAAATCCTTCTAGACGGTGTGTTTTTTCAGTGACTTACTGGTCTATGCATGAGTCAAGATGGGGACAGCTGTGATGGACAGAGAGGGACAGCCAGTGGTGCCAGGTAGCTGGCCATCTCCCCAGCTGCACAGAGTCTCCAAAATGATAGGTGGAACGGTGGCTGTCAGTGTATACAGGGACAGCGTCCCCAGTCAGCTAGGCCCGCGACTGCCCCTCCTGTTCTGATGTTTAATCTCCAAAGGCGAGGGTACCTACTCATCCCGAGGGAGGACATTGCTTGGCACTGCGGTCAGGGTGGATGCCAAGTCCTGGAGTGAGTTAGGGGACTCGTGGCTAGTGAGTGAGCAGGAAGATTTCCCAGGAAGAGTTCAGCGGTACACCTGCATGCTGTGTTCACAATAGTGACCCCCTTCCTGTCCTTGCAGGGCCTTCCCCGGAGCAGATGGACTGACCCTGACATCAGGATCTTCCTGCAGGAGTGGGAAGTAGTAGAAGCGGAAATAGGCCACCCAGGCAGAAAAATTCACAAGAAGACCAGGGCTCTTTGCCAGCGACTCTTTCACAGGGGCCTGAAGAAGTCATGGCAAAGCTGTTTCGACCTGCTGGTCAGTCTGCAGTATCTGCACAGGAAACTATGTAGCGAGAGACCCAGGACAGAACCCTTGTTTTCTCCGTATGCCGAGGCCCTGTATAGGATCCTGGGCCATAGACCCCAGGGAAGCTATTTCCCAGGTAAGTTTCTTGGGGACGGTCCAGGGAATGCCCTTGAGTGTGGAATCAGCTGGCCTCTCTGTGGTGGGCACCCACTGGGGATAGCACAGGATGCAGGCAAGCCCCATTCCTACAGCTTCCGTGGCCCATGGTGGGAAAGTCTGTGCCCTGTGTGTCTGACCTTGTCTTTCACCCCAGGCAATGGAATTGGGACTTGTTCATAGCAGACCGAGAGACGGGAGCCAGGCAGTTGCTGAGGGTGAATAGGGCCAACTGTGGTGCCATGCTCATGATCTCACTGAGTTTCTTCTCTTGGCAGGGCCTCCCAAATATGGAGCTGGTTACCCCCTGTATCCGATGGACCCTCAACTTCCAATGGTGATACCATCTGCCCCGTACCAGCCTTGCCATTATGGCTTACCTGCACCTTCTCCAAGGCTTCAAGGCTACCAATGGTCTATGATGTCTTGTGGGCATTCCGGCCATCCAGCCTTCTTTTCGGCTGCACAACCCCTTCCTGCTCCCGTCCTAGAGACTCCAGTGTCAACCAACAGTGCTTGACTCCTGATGACACCCAAGGCCCTCAGGGAATTCAGTGGAGATTGCTGTGTTTTCTCTAGAAACACGAGGACCCTATGTGTTGTATGTGTACGCATCTTTGTCTGCCTCCTATATGCAGACAAAGGTGGAATCAAATAAAGGTCAATAAAATCACTCCCGCCTCATCCTTGTCATTTCAGTGTGGGCCATGAGGATAGAGCAGCAGGGGATGGGGGCTTGGAGGAGGTTGATTCTAGTACTCTCTTTCTGCATGGGACTCTTGTACTCAGACTCCTGTACCACATCTGCATGTCTCTCTGATGGACAGTACCTCATCAGAGTTTCCATTCTGTAGCCCTTCAGCTGTAGAACTCAAAGTCTTTGTTTCCAAGCCTCCCGTTGCCCAGTGTGCAAGGGAAACCAGACTGAGATGATACGGATATGGGTATAGAAGTGGTTTTACTCAGATGAAGGGGAAGCTATCACAGTTAAGAATCAGATATAAAATAATGTCCACCAGCGACATTGTCATCCAGTGTGAATTGAAAATGCTTTTGCATTTTTTTTTATTTCTTTTATATAACCAAGTTGATTTAAATGAAAGCAAACATTTATAGACAATATTTGGGAATTTGGGCGTCGTTCTTTCCAAACTACTTCTTGCTGGTAAGGGGCGCTGTCAAGGGGATTTGAAGAAGACCCAGAAATCCTGGCTGTAGTCTGTAAGGCTGCGTTGTCCAGCTGTTTTGAATGTAGGATCACCTGGTAGGTACTCTGTTTCAGGTGGTGTGGCTTGATCAAACCACATTAGTCTGGAAGGAATCCACATCTTTTCATTTTCTGTGGAAACAAAAATAGAAGTCCTTATCCCCAGTAACTTGTCCTTGAACTTAAATTTTGGAGTCAAAGCATTTTTTTAAATTTAATTTATTATTTTACATGTCGATCCCAGTTCCCTCTCCCTCTCTCCCTCTCTCCCCTCCGGCCCTCCCTCCCTTCCTCCCTCCCCATTACCCTCTCTGCCCTCTCACATGCACTCTAACCACCCTCCCCTCCCATCCCCTCACCCCAATTCCATATGTAGGGGAATGCCATCCAGTTGGGGTCATGTAGATCTGACAGGTCATGTGAAGTAGGGACTAGGGCTTCTGTCCTGACTCTAGATTAAGGCAGTTATCCCTCCTTGGGGGATGTGTTCTCAAGGTCCTTTTGTGCACCAGGGATACTTCCTGGCTCCACTGTCTGAGGTCCCTTAGACTGTTCAGTCCTTCTGGCTGAGACCCATATTCAGGGGGGCCTGAGTCAGTCCCCTGCTGGCTTCCCAGCTATCAGTCTGGTGGCCCTTTAGCTCCTCCTTGTTCAGGTAATCTGTCTCTTTGTGTTTCTGCCAGCTGGTCTTGTCCTCTCCATCTGCATCTGGGTTCTACTTCCACTCAGGGTTTATGTATGGGTGTTTGCTCCTGTTTCCATCAGGCATTAGTTGAGGGCTCCATGGAGAAGTTAGTTGTTGATCTCACTCTCCGGGAAGGGCATTTATGGTAGCCTATCCACAGAAACTCAGATTGTTAGTTGGCAGCAGTCTTGTATTTCTCTAGACCTTTCTTTGGGTTCAATTTTATCTTCAACCATTATTGGCTCCCTCTTTTATGATCTCTCTCTCTCTCTCTCTCTCTCTCTCTCTCTCTCTCTCTCTCTCTCTCGTCTGTCTCCTGTCTTCTATTCCTAACCGGGTTCAATCTTCCTGGACACACATGTTTTCCTTTCCTACCCCTTGTTTTCTCCTAATTCTTTCTCCATTTGCTGCCCCCCCCCCACTTCCCCTGTGCTCTGGGGGACTTGTCCCTTCCCCGTTCTGTGAGGGACTTTATGTGAATCTCCTCTGGTGGTGTGAATTATGGGCTGCTGATCCTTTGATCTAGGTCTCAAATAATGCTTTTGCATCTTAGGGGTCACATTTGTAATACGTCAGGGCCAACTATGATCTCCTTAAGTATATAATGTTGTTGTCATTCTTGGCCGTATAGTTCTATGGCCATTATACATAAACACATTAGAGTTATTTCATACAATGACTCTTTTCATGTAGGTATGAGCTGGTTAATGTTTTGGACTTCAGCATGTCATAAGGTGACCTAATTGTGTATCAAATTGAAAAGGGGTGGAATTATGGTGTACTTGACTACATCTACCAGTAGTTAAAATCCCCAAATGGCTGGGCATCTCCTCGATGGGGGTCTGTCCTCTGGATGGGGGAAGTTTCACTTCTTATGAGGATGATTGAGGTTTGTGGTAGGTTGAATGTAATTTTCCCCATAATCTCTTAGCCTCTGCCTCCATTGAGAGGTGTGGTCTTGTTGAAGGAAGTGTGTCACTGTGGGGGCAGGCTTTGGAGTCTGTTGTGCTTATGCTTAGCTGAACGTCACAGTTCGTTCTCTGTTGTCTTTGACCAAGTTGTAGCCAGCAACATGCAGGTTTGTATGTCACCATGGTGACAATGGACTAAACCCATTGACCACTAAGTGAGACACCCCACTAAGGGATTTCCTTGCTCATAAGGGTTGCCTTGCTCATGGTGTGTCTTCCCTGCTACAGAAGCCATTTCTACAACAAGGTATGAGACACTCATTTAGTCCAGGTGTATTGAAGGGAAATGTCACACCTCTCACATGGGCCAGATTTCATAATGGAAATGTGTGAATGGACCTGAAGGACAATGTCTCTCTCTCTCTCTCTCTCTCTCTCTCTCTCTCTCTCTCTCTCTCTCTCCCCTTCACTCTTACCTCTGTTTTGTTTTTTTGACAAAAATTGTTTAATGGTAAAAGTTAGCACACTCCAGCACCAGGCCTGGCCTGGAGTCCAAGCAGCATGGATGGCTGGCTGACCCCATGGAGCCTCAACTCACATGGCGAAGAGGATGAGGAAGGCTACCATCAAACAGAAGAGCCCCATGGCCTCACAGGGCTAAGCTCAGAACGGCATAGGAGAAGAGCTGTTGCCTGAGAGATGGCTTCCTGGCATAGCCAGTAATCAAGCTAGCAAACACTGTTCAAATGCCCGTCCCTGAGCCAGCCATACCAACTGTGGCAGCCCCAGCACCAATAGCCTTGGCAGCTGTGTCAATGTCCAGGGACACAACACTGGTCTGCAATTCCCGTCTGGCCCCCTGGAGTAGGGGAGCTGCTACTGGAAGGCTGTTTAGACAGGGCCTCTGTCCTACTCAGGAGGGGAGGCAGACACAGGTCTGATTAGACCCCTGGTACAGGAGCGGATCCGACCTGGAGTAAAGAGCAGTGCCTTGGTGGTCTGCATTTTCCAATCTGCACCCCCCACTCCCCTGCAGCCCCTGCTCGGCTCAGGCACTCCAGCTGCTCAAGGTGACTGACACAAAGTTTCTCTCTTTTGCCTACGAGGTATGGCCCGGGATGGCAAATCCATCCCTTGGGTGGCATTAGAGAGATGTTTGACACCCAGTGTTTGGGAACCCCTCATGAGGTGAAAAGACAATTATGTTCTAAAATATGGCAAAATACACTTATATACTTTATATTTCACAATGGTAGCAAATACACAGTTATGAAGCAGCAATGAAAAGGTGTAGGATTAAGAATCAACATAACATGAGGAGCCGCATGAAAGATTTTCACATTTGAAAGGTGAGAAACACTGTCTTAGAGTCTACTTCTTTGAGATGTGACAAATACTAAAGAGCAGTTGAGACATTCCTCCTCGGGGAACAACGACTACTGGATCCTCGGACCTTCTGTCCATAGGCAGCCATTGTTGGATTAGCTGCCTTTATGTGGTTCTTGTCAAACCGGATATATACACATACACACACTTACACATATCTACATCCATAAACATACACATTATACCAAGAGACAGGCACATAGACAAACACACATAAACACAGGAATACGAACCCTCCCCCACCCCCGCACACACACACACACTGTTGACTCCTCGTAGTTGTAAATTTGACTTTATTCCAAATGAATTACAAATTCAGAATTGAAGGACTCCCCTTTGATCCCTATACTGAGCTGGGAAGACACAGGCTTTAGATCAAGGCCTGTAAGTGGGACAAGACACGCCTTTAATCCAAATCCTGAAAAGGAAAGGCACATCTTTAATCAGGCTCTCAGCTTCAGCTGGAAACCAATATAAACTCAATCAAATGAGGATCGATTCCTATTTTCATGTCTGTTTGGCCTGAACCTGGCAGTACATCTATTCCTTCAGTGATATTGGACCTACTTATCCAGTTTCAGCATATACAGATGAATAGCTGAGACAACCCGGCCCAAATGGCCAAGTAAACTCTACATTCTCCTACTTTCCATTCACATCTAGGGATCACATGATTTTGACAGCAGCCTGTCTAAAAAATGACACGCAGAAAGACACACACTCACTCACTCACTCACTCACATATGTGTATATGTCCCCTAATGTTGGTGAATGTAGAAAACCCTGACTAAAAGACATACACACACACGTATAGGGAAAGAATAATGCTAAATTTCAGTTATTGTAGGGAACTCTAGCACACCACACATAGCCATTGTCAGTGATGATAAGTGTATTAAGTCATGCTAGAAACCTCCGGAAATCAACATCTGAAAACAAAACAAAACAAAAACCAAAAGAGAGATTTCTTGGGATATTGGCTACCTATCAAGGATCTTCTTATAGGGGGCTCACATCATAACTGTTTTTCATGGTACTTTGCACAGATGCTGTGTCTGTGGGTGGGCAGAGATCAGATCACCGGGGAAAGGGATAAGAGGGGTACAAGGTCATCGGGTACTACTGGAGGAATTGTAGGCTCAGGGATCCAGGGAATCGCAATTCCATAGGTAGGAGCTCTTCATTCTAGGCCTGGCCTGGTGAATTACTCTTGTCCTGGTGATTAAAATCCACCTTAAAGTCTCTTGCCAACTTTGTTCTTTCCATGAGCCCTGTACTATGATATGACAGGAGTGAGTAGATCATCCTAGCAACAGGCAAACCAAGGGAAA